ACCTTATCAGCTTCTACAGTGGGAGTGCCAGAACGCAGATGAACTTTGTCCTTGTTAGACACCGCGACCAAGGGCTCATCACGGACGCGAAGACGGTGCCGTACGAGACACTTGCCACCCAACGTCGCCCACTAATCTGCACGCTAAAGATCGCAAAGTTTCGGTCCAAGCGGGCCGAGCGATGTGGTCCCGAGAGGATTAAATGGTGGCGTTTGAAAGAAAAAGAGGCAGCTGTGATCTCTCATATAAGACTTCCCACCATCACGACTGTTGATGAGACCTGGAAAAGTACTGCGAAAGCCATACATGAGGCCGCTCGTTCCGAACTTGGCGTCACGAAGCCGGGAAGGCGTAGAATAGATAAGCAGCCGTGGTTATGGACCGACAATGTCAAAGAAACGGTTCGCGAAAAGAAGAGGCGCTACCACGCGTTTCTCGCCGACAAGTCAGCTAGTAGCTGGCGTAAGTACAAAGAAGCGAAGAGCGTAGCGAAGAAGGCTGTGGCTGCAGCTAAGGCCGCCCACTTCGAAGATGTCAGTAGGAAGCTCGATTCACGTGATGGTGAGCGACACCTCTACCGACTAGCCAAGGCTCGGCATCGTCAGGCTAAAGATATCGAGAAGTTTCCTGGTGTTAACGACGAGCATAGCCGCCTTTTGATGGACCGAAAGAAGGTGCTGAGGCGATGGCACGACTTTTTTGAGAACATTTCAACCGTAGAATATGCGCACCCGGCCATCCCTTTCGTCCCCCCAGTATACGGTCCTGTTCAGAAAGTAACCGTAGAAGAGACGGAGGCGGCTCTCAGAAAGATGAAGTCAGGCAAAGCAACAGGACCTGACGACGTGGCAGCCGACTTGTGGAAGGCACGGTGCTGGTATCCTGCACGATGGTTGACGGATTTCTTCAATCAGGTCGTTGCTGAGAAGAAGACGCCTAAGGACTGGCAAGAGAGCACGACGATTCCGATTTGGAAGAAGAAAGGGAGCCCTGCGGACTGCTCCAGCTACCGCCCAATTCGCCTACTGTCACACAGTATGAAGATCTTCGAGCGAATCGTTGACAGCCTTATCCGCGAAATCGTCCAGCTCTCTATCAATCAGTGCGGCTCCGTGGCAGGTTGTAGCACCATCGATGCGATACATGCAGCGCGTCTTCTGCTGGGGAGACATCGTTCGAAAGCAAGTACCCAACCGCATCTAGCTTTTCTGGACCTAGAAAAGGCGTTCGATCGTTTCGCGCGTGAATTATATGGTACGCATTGCGGCAACACGGCGTTCCCGAAGAGCTTATTGAATGGGTGCGCATCCTATACTCCAGCTCAAAGAGCCGCGTGCATGCACCACAGGCACCTCGCAGGACTTTCCCATCACGTAGGAGTGCATCAAGGCTCTGCGCTTTCTCCACTCCTTTTCGTGGTCGTCTTGGATGCAATTCACGAGATCTTCAGAAGCCGAGTCCATGACGCTTCTCTACGCAGATGATGTGGTGCTGGCCAGTGAAGACAAGAAAGAACTCGAGCAGCAGGGCAAGCTTGGTCTGATCGCCCTGACGAAGTTCGGATTGAAGTTGAACATCAAGAAAACTGAATACTTGACGACGATACAAACGTAGCGATTCCATTAAGATCAGTGGCATCGAGCTCACACGCATAAGAGCCTTCAAGTACCTTGGATCAGAAATTGTGTTCGATGGCAGTCTGACCTCAGAGGTGAACTCTCGTGTGAGTGCAGCATGGGCCAAATTGCGCTCGATGACTGGAGTTCTGTGCGACAAGACCATACCAGAGCACCTCAAATCGAAGATATATAGAACTGTGATCAGACCAGTAGCGCTGTACGGGGCTGAGTGCTGGCCTGCAACCAAGGAAGTCGAAGCCCGCCTTAGTGTGATGGAGATGAAAATGCTACGTTGGACGGCCGGTGTCACCCGTATGGATCGGATTTGTAACGATGACATACGCAAGAAGTTTGGCGTAGCTCCCATAGTTGATAAAATGCGAGAGTCTCGTCTCCGATGGTATGAACATGTACTTCGCGGAAGGCGGACACCGTCTGCAAAACTGGTCTCCAGCTCGAGGTGCTCGGCAAACGGCCGAGAGGACGCCCCAGGCAACGTTGGCTTGACACGCTGCACGCGGATTTGAAGATAGTTGGTGCTCACCCTGATCAGGCATTTGATCGGAATAAATGGCGTAACAAAATCAGGAGAGCGGACCCCGCCACAGAGCGGGACAAACGCTGAAGAATAAGAAGAAAGGGTCCACTGCTGCAGATTTTGGTCTGCTGAAGAGGTAAACGGAGGTGGTAAACTTGGCGAGGAAGTGCTGCAGTGACAGTGGCAAGCTCTCGCGCGGCGCCGGCTTCAAATCCCGGGTCGACTCCCACCCAGGCCAACCAAACCTTCTACCCTCCAGAGAAGGTAAATTGGTTCCAGATTCGTCTGGGAGAAAAACAGTGACCTATACATCGGCTGGCCACCGTAAGTCATTGTATAAGCCACATCGAATTCAATAAGCCACTGCGATTGTCAATGGAAGTAGAATATGTGCCGCATCCCACAAAGGGACTATCAACAGCGAAGACTTTATCCCTTTCATCCTTCAAAATGTAAGCTCACTTGTTTCTCACTTTTCTTTTCAAAAGCCCCTAGTTTTTCCAGATAGTGATCAACAATAATTACTTAAAGACACATGGTACGCTCAAACACATTGAGGGTGTATGAGACTATCAGCCCCTCAGCTGTCGATGTGTCGTGGTCCCCTCACCGAAACATGCCCAGGAATGGAGATACAGGACCGTGAAACACGCTAATTCCTCCATGCTCCGCCTTACACTTTTTGCGGCACAGATTCCCGTCCTTCATAACATCCGTCGTAAGCGCGCGTGTCGCGTGCCACTCCTTGGCACTTTGCCAAGTTCTTTAATTGCGCTCTCAAATACGAGTAAAACGGATACGGATAACATTGGAGGTGCTACAAAATAAGAACAGAAGATGATGACGAGGGCCAGAACTCAAGAGCAACTCGTTGCATCTGCAGTATCTATCAGAGGCCGCGCATTCCCACAAAACATGAGAATAAAAACAATCCAAGCGTCCCACTCGTTTATTCCAAGTATTTCTATGGCTTTGGCGCCAGATTCGCGCCGGATCGTGGAAATTACAGGCGATTTTAACTAATTTTCCTTTCCTTGATTTTTTCATTTTTGTTTTATTTACATTTACATCGTTGTGCTTCATTTCTAGCCAGTGTCATCTTCATCTGCTTGTACATGGATTTTTAAGCACGAGCTACACCTAAAATTTTATTCGCAGCAGGAAACTGCGTTTTGCCTGTAACAAACTAACGAGTATGCCGTTTTTATTTTCATGTTTCGTGGAAATACGCGACCTCCGAGGGATGTTGCAGAAGTGGCACAGTTGCTTTTAAGTTCTGACCCTCGTCATCATCCTCTGTTCTTATTTTGCAGCACCTTTAATGTTATCCGCATCAGGAAATTGCGTTTTACTTGTATTTGAAAGCGCACTTAAAGGACTTGGCAAAGTGTCAAGGAGCCGCACGCGACACGCGCGCTTACGATGGACGTTATGAAGGACGGGAATCTGCGCCGCAAAAAGGTGTAAGGCGGAGCATGGAGGAATTAGCGTGTTTCACGGCCCTGTATCTCCATTCCTAGGCAAGTTTGGGCGGGGGGATCACGACACATTGACAGCTGGGGGGCTGATAGTCTCATATGTACACCCTCAATGTGTTTGAGCGTACCATGTGTCTTTAAAGGATATATTCCTGGAAACGTAACACGGAAATTTTTTCAATGAAAAGGTTCGCCACAACTCCTTCTGGAAGCCTTGCAGAATCGAATTCACATAAACGAAATACGACAACATTCAAGTTTTTCTATTGCCAATAAACTTGCGAACAATTTTTGTCGTGAACACTGCCTTTGGAGAACGAAAAAATGGTAAAGTAAATGCACTCCATCACTATGATTGAGGAAGAGATGCAAGATACAGGCATAAACCTAGTCGGAGCTAATCGGCTAAACGGATTTCGCTTGTTATGTGTAGCAACTTACGAGTGGGATCTAATCCCTTGAGCGGAGGACACGGTAGCACAATGCTTGTGTTCGCTGGCGTTGGTGGCCAACAAAGAACCGTATCGTATGTAGCATTACACCATAGGCTACCATCGGCTGAAATTAATGTATCTCACTCTTCCATCATCTTCCTTTTACTTCTACCAGAAGATTCAATCGATTTTCGGTTCCTGTGTTGTTCATTATTAATAATACCTTAGTTCAAATAGTAGAACTTATGTATTCAGTGCAATCGGAGTCCAGGTAAAGTCCAGGTTTGTACTGGCAAGTTCTATGAAAGCAGCGAGTGATTCGCCGAGTTTGTGGCTTGGAGCCTAGTGTAGCCTCTCGTGCGGGGTTTCCACCTTTTCTCACTCACTTTGTTAGGCTGCGCATAGATGTCCGCCTTTCTCCTTCACTCATTATTCAAGAGCTTGCTCATGGGGATCATAAGAAGTCGAACACTTCTTTCATCGTGTAAATTACAACCTTTGGTCGAAGGTCTGGCCCTCCATAAAATTACAATGTTTTTTCTGTTGTTGTCACTTTTTTGCTCCCAATCACTGCACATAACCAAAAAAAACTGAATGTTAAACACTGGGGGGGGGGGAACCGTAAATGGTAAAAAACTGTTTACCGTTAGTACTTTTGCGCTCGTTCTTTGGGGTATGTGCAGTGTGCAACATCGAGGCTCGTACTTAGGCACTGAGGGGGAACCGTAAATGCAGTTTCGGTGAGCATCGCAAGAGTCATCGCTGAGTGTGAAGCGGAACCAGAGCTGTAGAGAACATGGGTATGTGAAAGATCAAAAAATGTTCAAGTAGGTAGGTAGCAATGATAGCAATTCGCAGAAATCGCAAGTGTGCGGATGACTAAATAAAACAACACGGACAGGTTCGTTCGGATCGACAATTCCGAACTCTATGAAAACATCTACTCGCGTGGACAAAAATTACTTACCATTACAGGTTACACCTTTCCACCACTTCTGCGTGGAAGCGTAAGGCATGGCGCACACCAAACTATTGTTTCACTTAGTTCATGTGTTTTTTAAGGTAGTTTGAGGTTTCCGAATCAGTACTCTTACAATGGTACAAAAGGACGAGAAAAAAGGTCTTTCGAGTGGCTCAGGAATTCGCCCATCAAAAATCCATCTAACAACATATTTTCCAAACTCCGGATCCGGAGCGGATCTCCAGGAAAACTGTAGCGCTTTTTGGAAAGAAAAGTTTGCGCTTCGTAAAGACGTTTTTGATCTTGCACAAGTATGCGTATGAAGGAAACAGTCTGAAGCGTAAAAACTCGCGTGCTATTAAACTGCTGGCCACGCGTGCGGGGCCCATTCCAGATTTTTCTCAGACAGGAAGAGACCCAGATTACGGGCAGTAAGGAAACGCAACAGTATCCTTCATCGCCGTCACATACCGCCTTACTTCACCAAAATTCCGCACCTTAAAAAATTATCTTCCGCATAAGAAGCTGTCCGTCTGTTCGGAAATTCGGGATCACGGGCCAATTTGGAAACCGGGTCAAAAGTGGAGATGGGCATAGAACAATATTCACGGAGCACACATGAACCGAACTGAGCGCCACCCAATATGGGTGAAGCTTGTCCATAGCCGGGAGCCAGTGATTTTGAATGTCGATGATTCGAATTCCCGAAAAGCGGGAAACGAACGCGCCGCTAAATCTACAACAGGAAAAATTCGGGGACGAGTTTTCCGCGGCCTTGGAGCGGGCTTTCTGGACTGGAGCGCGCTATCCTTTCGACACAATACGGTTTTGGCTTCTCGTCCGCAGTATGTTGTAAGGACGATGTGAGCAGTTCGGAAGGAAATGTCTGACACAGCTCTTTTGTGGTGACATTCTTAGAATAGCCAGCTTCTACATTTTTATCACAATTCGATGAATAGCTTGAATGTGCAAGGGTTAAGCAGCTTTTTTCATGTTTTTAACAATGTAAGCTTGAGGAAACGATGCCTAGCTTTGGACAGTGCAGTGTTTCCTTGGGTGTATATTTTGAGATCCACCACAACGGCAAATAGAACTACCTCGCCCAGTAAAAATAACTAAAGTAACAGCTACTTATGCGAGATCAAACATTTGGAGTGCACCTTGGAGGCTTTTAACACTCATCAACCTCCTCTCGTCTACGCAGGTTTCATACTTTCGCATAGTCCCCATACCCGTGGAGTAGATGTTTATGTTTCCCTTTTCGCGTATTCGAGTTAGTTGTCGGGTTCTATCAGCTTCGCTATTCACCGATTCTTCACTATTGTAAGCTATGGCGCATGGCCTCGTGCCAAATGATAGGGTGCACCTCCGCTGTTTGCTTAGAGAAGCTGAGAGCGAGCTCCTGCTCATTAAAAATTTAAAGCATTCTATGGTGAAGCTGATTTGCTGAACTTCTGATTAGCCGGAATCTCCTGCCTTCTGCTGGCACACACGAAGGAACTTCGCACGTGAAAGGAATGTATCAAGCCATCGCAAATACGATTGGGTTACCCTCCATTTGTCGGAAAAAAAGGAATATGGGAAGAGCGAAGTATCAGCCTTCGCATCATACCAAAAGGCTGTTTGTAACAGTGAGTCACTGCCTTTCCAAAAAAGAAGTCGAAATTCGAGTCTCTAAGCACCGCTTCTCTTTTGTCTCCCATCAATTTCGATTAGGTGGCATTTTTGCAAAGTTCCAAAGAACATGGTCTTTATGGTAAAGGGTTTGCTCGGGGTGTGATAAAATTTCCAGCAATCCCTGCTCACAGACAGTTCTAGGATTTAGAACTGCTGGAAATGGTATGATTCATTCAAAGCAGTTATTGAGGTTTGTGGAATGACCACTTCTAAAAGAAAATCACTGTTTCATGGTTCTGACCTGTTGCGGTGAATGTTGAGAAACGCTTTTTAAAGAAAGCACCGCTTACTAAGCATGGTAACCTTCGCTGTAGAAGTCGGCCGTTCCAAACAAATGGCGCTACAGCAGAGAGTTATCTCACAGATTCCCCTCTGCATAGTTTATAGCTTCCATCGCAATATATGACGAGGAAGAAGTGACTACCAAATTTTCCGTGGAAGGGATAGCGCGCTCCAGTCCAAAAAGCCTGCTCCAAGGCCGCGGCAAACTCGTCCCCGAATTTTTCCTGTTGTAGATTTAGCGGCGAGTGGGAAACGATAGGGAATAGATCGGCTAACCAAATGAGGCAAAAAAAATCCACAACGGGATGGGCGTACTATTATTGAACGGTGCTTGCTAAACAAATTTCAAAAATCCGTTCATCCAGGTTATAGAAAAGATGGAGAAGGGGGAAAAGTGAGGAACGATAGGAAATGGGTAGGCGCATGAAGTGAGGAAGCCACACCTGCGGTGGGCAGGACCTACCTTAAATGGGTTGAGCTTGCCGAAGAAGTTCAAAAATTCGTAGTTCGGTCTCAGAGGAGTAGGGAAAGCGGGGAATGAATAATGGTAGGAAATGGAGACGTGGAAAGGCGGATAGGAGGCATTTGTATTTGCAGTTGGTGTGGCTTCAATAAAATTACTACCTCCTCTACTATTCGGTGGATCACTAGTTTTATTACTTACATCCACATTCGTTCTGATGATTAAATAGGCTTTATGTAGACCGAATCCAACCGGCCAAACAGTAGGCAGATACAACTCTACGGCTCTAACTTTGAGACATACAAAAGCGTTCTCAACAATTTACAGGATCGCGGAAGCCAGGGTTAGTTACTCATGCTTACAAAAGCAGTGAACAAAAACATTTTCATGTATAGAAAATTAGAGAACTGCCGACTAGGAAGGTGTCCACGCGAGGAGAGCATATGTATGCCGACCTATACTGATGTCCACTGAAGGAGAGGATCGGGCCCCATCCCTCCTGAAAATGTGTGAGGAAGATCAACTGTACACAATGAAGTCGGATCGGTCAGCAAAGCCGACCGTTCCTAATGGCAGTGAATGAGTGCACCAAAGGCCGACTTTTCGATCGGATATGACGATTTTAAGAAGGGTTGGTTACGGTCATCAAACGGCATCCCACAAGTTTACGCAAACTGTTTCATCTAAAAAATGTACGCTGAACAAAACAAGAGACAACATACCTGGCTCAGGAACGGGCGGAATGCCTTGATCACGTAACATTTGGAAACAGGCCTGAAAATTGCAATTTGAGAACTGGCAGCGCCCAATCCAACAACAATTCCAAATTCTGTTGGTATACTGTATCGAAGGAACAAAGTCTCAAGCATCACCTCTACAGAGAAGTCCTAGGAAAACTATTCAAAAATGCCATTCCTAGCTTTCGCCGAAGAAAACCGATTTTGCCACTAGTTAGGGGAGAAAAATCCGTGAGAAAATTTCTCCCTGCTGCCCTGCTTGGAATTTTCTACTCCTGTCCGATATCTGTGCAACAGAAGCGCTTAAAATAGCAAAATCCACAAACGCGGACGCCAGATTTAGTTGCTCATGTTTCCAAAAGCAGTGAGCAAGAACATTTTGTTCAAGGGACGCACCAGTTAAAACTATTTCACTTGCGATAATGTGTCAAGGGACACTGAACGTTCATTCAGAGTAGCGATCCCAATGCTTGTATTTTCGACGTTCGCAGAGGTGATGTGTATGGGACGAGGGAACCTTCAGACAATCAGTTTGAATTGTGAACCAGCGACAACACCGAGGGACAGGACGTTTGATGTATCCCAGTACACCTACAGCACTGATTGCTGGCCTTTTTGAGCACGTCCAACGTAGGCAATTGTTTCGTTCTTTTGATAGATAAGGCAGTGAACTAACACTTGGTCCCCAAAACGACAAATACCCCACCATACGAGGATGATCCCCGAGTCTTTTATGTACCTCATCACCTTGTACGATGTGAAAACGTTACAACTAGTTGTCTAATTGCTTATCTGGTTCCCCCTGTTCCAACGAAGTGGTGCAGTAGAGAGTCTAACGAAGTCACTGGGAAGTATACATCAAAGGTCAAAGAATCAAGCTTGACTCACAGTTGAAAGAGAGGGTTGAAAGACTCACCTCCATCGTTACAGCGACGTTCCCGTTAGGCAGCGTATAATTCCAGGGGACGCGAGGCGCGTCCATCTTGAGCCTAAAGAAGTGTGTGTGAGAAGCTCGAAAAGTTCACTACGTCTAACTTCATTAAAGAGTGACAAGCGTTCCCACGACGTGTGCCTATGATTTGAACTCTAAAAACCTGCTAAGAATTTCGGTGATTTAGAAGCGATTGGAACACTGATCAATTTTCCCTTCAGTTGAACCTAATACCTAACCCACTCCAGTTTCTCGTCTGCTCCGCCATACTTAAGAATTCAAGGGCTTGATTTCGTGTCGTACAGAAAGACAAGGCCCGCGTGGCGAATGTGGGCCTTTGATGATTTGATGTGCTGCATTTCTCTGCTCGTTGCTCAATACGCGGTATACATGCCAGAGCCACGCAGTATGGCTGCCATGTGGTCCAGTCAAGCGACGTGCACCTGTGGGCTCGCATATGGTTGGTCGTTCTGTGTGTATTCGAGATTGTGGCACATGTTAGGTACCACTTCATAATACCAAGCTATAATATCACAAGGCTCTAGCTCATTGCCTATTTCTAGTGGCATTTGCGCATAGACCGCTGCGAGCCCACCCGTTTCGGAAATGGGGAGGATCCACTTTTCAGATATTGCGGCCTGTCTCGTATATATTAGGGTGATAAAAAAAGATGACTCAATTTTTTGAAATTTCGAGAACTTTGGAATCTTGGTCGACATCGATGACCAAGCATGTGGCAGTTGTAGAACATTCTCGAATCCTCTCCATAATGGGTATATAAAGCTGGGCTGCTACCTATAGCTTTAATCACGATGGCAATCACACAAGAGCTAATTCGACACGTCGACTACTACGAATGGCTTCGCGGGACCGTAGCGACGGCAACCGTTCAAAACATCAACAGCACATTGGGAGAGGGCACCACTTCTCTTAGCGCGGTCAAGCTCTGGTTCGCCCGCTTCGAAGAAGGAGACACGAAATTCGAAGATAAGCCTCGGTCGGAACGCCCCCACACAGTCGACGACTTCGCCATTCTCGACGCCGTAAGGAGGATCTGGAACTCAGCACCCGCAGTCTTGCGACAAGACTTGGGTGTACTCAACCAACAGTCGTCGGCCGCCTTCACGCTCTCGGATACAGGAAAGTGCTGGCACGATGGATCCCTCATGAGTTGACTGAGAATGCGCGGTTGACTCGGGTTGCCATCTGTCTGTCAGTCACTACTCCTCCGCCCCCAGCGCAACGAGTTTCTCGCCGACTTGGTTACTGGAGGCGAGAGTTGGATCCTCTACAACGCCAATAAGCACCGCGCGTTCTGGCTCCCGCAAGGAGAATCGCCGCCTACGCAAGCAAATTCCGATCTCCACCCGCAGAAGTGTCTGCCTTGCTGCTTCTGGGACGCGCGCGGTATGCTGTACTACGAGCTGCTATCGCAAGGCCAGACGGTCACCGGGCCCACCTACGCACGCCAACTCAGCAAACTAGCCGAAGCTCTTCGCGAAAAACGGCCGAGACGGGCCTCGGTCCACCTTTTGCACGACAACGCCCGACCACACATAGCAAAGGAGACCCGGGAAAAACTGGAGGAGCTGGGCTGGGAAACTGTCCCTCACCCGCCCTATTCCCCTGACCTAGCTCCTTCAGATTACCACTTGTTCCGTCCCCTTCAGGCTTTCCTAGCTGAGCAACAATTCACCAAAGTTATGATGTGAAACCGGCGGTGAGTGACTTCTTCGACTCCCAGTCTCCTCAGTTCTGGAAGAAGGGGATCGCTGACCTGCCCATTAAGTGGGAGACTGTTGTCACTAATGATGGCGATTATATATTATTATTTATATTATATTCATATTTATTTATTATTATATTCATATTTATATTATATTCGTTCTATTGGGTTGAGTAGCTTGCATGGTATGCTGAGTACTAAAATAAAGCAGAAAATTTTTTTAAATGGGTCATGACTTTCTTATCAACCTAATATTAGTACCCTTGCAGTCGGTTAGACGGTGCCGTCCGTACGCGTCACGCGTTCTATTGGGTTGGCACATAAGTACTTTCGCTTTTTTTCAACCGGAAATTTCGTTCCAAAGATGAAACGTTTTGCTAGAAAGCTTGATAACATCTGATAGGAAACTTCACGTATTTTTAGAATATCAGAACGGCTTCGGTTGAGGGAGAAATTTTTGTGGGTTTTTTAGTCGTTGAAATTGAAAGCAAAGTCGGCGAAAATTAGCACCTTCGACAACTGCCTCTATTTACCGTATAGTCGAAGTGACTAAAATCGCTTAAGCTACTCCATAACATTTGGAAAAGGTCGAGCTAGAAGTTCAGCAAGCGGATCTCACTAGGACGCTTTGGAACGAATTTCAAGAATTTTGAAGTTACCAAGCTTCACCTCGCCCATATTGGGCAGCTCACGTCTGTTCCGGCCTAAAATTTTATGCTAATATTTGAACCTTTCGCTGATATGTTTCGCATGTTCTGGTGGCAAATTTCGTGCTCTATAACACTGCTATAGAAATACCGTTTCCAGAGCTGTTTGCTTCATGTTAAGTTCAGGTTATCATTACGGAACGCGAGGTCGGCTGAGAATTAGCGCTCCCGTTCTCCACGAATTTTATGCTATCATTTGAATGTTTCGCTAATGTGTTCTATATGGTCAGATAGCCAATTTCGTGCTGCTATAACACTGCGTTGCAGTTATTTTGAAAATCGTTTGATGAACCTTGTTTTCAGGTGGATTATGGAATGTCAGGTCGATAAGCATCAGCACTTTAGACATCTCCTCCTTTTCGGCATTCAACAGAGGTACCAAAGCTGCTGATGCTGCTCGGGAAATTCGCGGAGTGTACGGAGAAGATGCTCTCTCTCAAACAGCCCGAAATGGTTTCAGACGCTTCAAGAGTGGTACTGATACTCTGTGAATGCGAAAGGAGGAGATGTCTGAAGTGCTGATGCTCATCGACCTGACATTCCATATTATCATAAAATTAGCATTAAATTTTAGGCAGAACAGACGTGAGCTGCCCAATATGGGCGAGGTGAAGCTTGGTAACTTCAAAATTCTGTGAAATTCGTTCCAAAAGCGTCCTAGTGAGCTCCCCTTGCTGGAACCTTCTAGCTCGACCTTTTCCAAATGTATGGAGCATAAGCGATTTTAGCACTTCGACTATACGTAAATAGAGGCGTAATAGAGCAGTTGTCGAAGGTGCTAATTTTCGCCGACTTTGCTTTCAATTTCAACGACTAAAAACCCACAAAAATTTTTCCCTCAACCGAAGCCGTTTTGATATTCTAAAACTACATAAAGTTTCCTATTAGATGATATCAAGCTTGCTAGCAAAACATTCCATCTTTGGAACGAATTTTCCCGTTGAAAAAAACGAAAGTACTTATGTGCCAACCCAATACTTCCATTCAGGGCTATAGCGACCTTGCCTTATAGGGACCTTGAATTCATTAGGCCTATACATACAACGACTGGGCTAAAAACGACCAGCATTAGGTTGTCCGGAAAGTTCTTAGCATTTCTTGTTATTATTTTTTGTACACTTATTGCTGATGAAAACTCATTCTCCCCTGCGTCTCAATAGTATATCCTAAAGAGAATTTTTCGCGCTAATGGCATAACTGCCCTTTCACTATTGCTTGATGAACCCCTTTTCCCCAAAACCTTGAAGCATGACAAAAGAGCAACTTCGGAGGATATTTTACTTCAACCAGAAATTGAGTCAATCCGCAGACGAGACAGCTCGACAAATTAACCAGGTGTGGGGGCCCAATAGTGTTGAAGAAAGCACCGTGCGACAATGGTTCGACAAATTTCGTTCTGGAGATTTCAGCCTTGAAGATGAACCTAGTAGCGATCCACCTAAAGCAAAACCGGACGAGGCTTGAAGGCGTTTGTGGGGGCTGCCGCAACCCAAACAGTTGGAGAGATTGTAGAAAAGCTAGGCGTTGGCAAATCCACTGCTGCGGATGGTCTGAAACGTATTGGAAAGGTGAAAAACTCGACAAGTGGGTGCCCTACAATTTGAGTGACCGGCAGAAATTGGTACGTCGTGAGGTTTCTTCTTCACTGCTTTTGCGCAACGGAAACGACCCGTTTCTGGACCGAATTGTCACCTGTGATGAAAAGTGGATCATGTATAATAACAAGACGTTCCGGACAGCGGTTGGATGCCGACAAACCACAGGGGCAATTTACAAAGCCGAATCCTTACACAAAAAAGATTATAGTCACAGTGTAGTGGTTATCGCCTGGTGTGATGTACTATAAGTTTTTGTCACCTGGCCAGATTATAGTCACAGTGTGGTGGTTATCGGCTGGTGTGATCTACTATAAGTTTTTGTCACCAGGCCAAACCATCGCAGCAGAGTCCTACTGTGAAAAAAATCGACGAAATTTACCGAAAACTGCGTCAGCTGCAGCCAGCACTTGTCAACGGAGAGGGTCCGATTCTTCTGCATGACAGCGCTCGTCCACACGTTTCACAAATCACTATTCATGAATTGAACGAATTGGGGGTTGAAGTTCTACCTTGACCGCCATATTATCCAGACCTTTCACCAACCCACTATCACCTTTTCAGACATTTTCAGAGCTTCCTTGCTGGAAAATACTTCATCGATCAGGACCAGGCAAAAAAACTTCGTGGATTCTTGACTACCCAGTTTTCCCTGTGATGGGCTTTATCGAGTGGTGTCGCATTGGCAAAAGTGTGCTGATTGTAACGGTGCTTATTTCGATTAAATCCGTTAAGTATTAAGGAAGTTATGATCGTTTAAAGTGAAACACTCAAAACGCTGAGAACTTTCCGGACAACCTAATACACACCTGCTTTTGACTCTACAAGCGCCTCTCCTCTTTGACGGATACTGTTGAAGTCACAGGTGAGACTTACGCAAGAGACTCAACTCTTGCTACGGAACATTATTCTGCAAATGAGTCAGTAATTAAGAGAGAAGAGGAGAGTCATCTCCGGTCATTGGGATCGCCTATTCAGCGCTGTTCACGATTTATCCATCGGAAAACCCACGATAATTGGGAT